GAGCCCCATGATCCCCTATTGCCCGGGGGCCCCATGAGTTGTCAGTCCGCCCCTGAACTGGGTACTAGACATCTATGCTGCAAACTGAAGATAGCATTTCAGTAGAACATGAGTCTCCAAACTGCAGCCCTTGGACCGTATGTGGCCCCTTGCTTGCCTTTATGAAGCCCTTAGGGCACTATTCCTTCCTTCCACTGACACCAAAGATGGAGCACTTTTTCTCTCCCTGCCAATAATGGGGCACTATTCCTCCCACTGACACCAAAGATGGAGCATTCTTTCTCACCCGCCAATAATGGGGCACTATTCCTCCCACTGACACCAATGATGGAGCACTGTTTCTCACCCTGCCAATAATGGGGCACTATTCCTCCCAGTGACACCAAAGATGGAGCACTCTTTCTCACCCTGCCGATAATGGGGCACTATTCCTCCCACTGACACCGAAGATGGAGCACTCTTTCTCACCCTGCCAATAATGGGGCACTATTCCTCCCAGTGACACCAAAGATGGAGCACTCTTTCTCACCCTGCAGATAATGGGGCACTATTCCTCCCACTGACACCAAAGATGGAGCTCTCTTTCTCACCCTGCCAATAATGGGGCACTATTCCTCCCACTGACACCAAAGATGGAGCTCTCTTTCTCACCCTGCCAATAATGGGGCACTATTCCTCCCACTGACACCAGAGATGGGGAACTAATTCTCCCACTGACACCAATGATGTATTTTTTTTTGTTTACGCCCACTGACCACCAAGCCTATGGCATTGTTTACTCCCACTGATGCTGGAGCATTTTCTACGCCCACTAGCCACAGTCTCCTCCCCCTAAAGTTTGAAGGGCAGTAAACCGGCCCTTTTGGTCAAACGTTTGGAGACCCCTGCAGTAGAGGACCCCCTGTGAAGCATGGTGGTGGAAATGTGAGGGTTTGAGGCTGCTTTGCTCCTTCAGGGCCTGGGCAGCTCATAGTCTTCAAGTCAACAATACATTCTTTTTCAAAGTGTGCTTTATTTGAATGTGAGGCCATTTTTCCAAAAATGAAAATTGAACCAGAAATGAATCTTTCAACAGGATCATGATCTGAAGCACACTAGCGGATCCACCAAGGAATGGCACAAAAAGAGGAAATAAAGATACAGAGCTTGCCCTAGCAAAAGCCATCATTGAAATGAGGGATTTTGAAATGGACAGTACACACAAGGAAGTCCATGAACATTTTTGCATCTAAAAAATGCCTGCATGGGGGAGGGGTCAGATCATTGAGCACATGCCCCCTTCATGTGGACAGTAGTTTGACTGTCTGGGGACATCACCATCAGAATTACACTTGGAAGAGCTCTCCTTCTATTGGGAAATACCACTTTGGAGACTGAAGTAGAAGAATGGGGGTTGTTGTATCTTTTTACTTTCACGCTTTTGTATAATAAATGGCCTTAAGATGGGGACATGGCTGTTGTGTTGTTGGCTGGATATCTGATTTCTGCATTAATGTTGTAGCATAGAAACCATCCATTGAAGTCTGGTAATGGCATCCACTTTTTTGGGGGTTTTTTTCATTCAAGTAGTCAGGTCCATCCTACAAATGTCAATCAGAAATGTATTTTTCCCCTAGTCACTTAGTTTTAAACCACTTCCTTCTAAGAGCTGCTTCCCTGAACTTCTGGTCAGGTGGGAGAACACTGTAAAAAATCATCATCAAAAAAATCATAAGATATCCCATCACCCTTAGCGCCATAGGACACAAGCGCACGCGTGATCAGCATTCACTTTCAGTTGATCTTTCCACCCATAGCTGCCCATCAATCCCTGGAGAAAGATCTGCTAAATTCATGGGGCTCTGAGCTGCCTGTGTGTGAAGTGGCGGCATGTCCGGGTGCAATGCTGCTTCCCTGAACTTCTGGTCAGGTGGGAGAGCACTGTAAAAATGATCAAAAAAAATCACATGATATCCCATCTATCAGAAATTTATTGTTCCCTAGTCACTTAGTTTTTAAACCACTTACTTCTAAGAGCTGCTTCCCTGAACTTCTGGTCAAGTGGGAGAGCACTGTAAAAATCATCAAAAAATCACATGATATCCCATCACCCTTAGCGCCATAGGACACAAGCGCACGAGTGACCAGCAATCAGTTTCAGCTCTTTCCACCCACAGCTGCCCACCAATCCCTAGAGAAAGATCTGCTAAATTCATAGGTCTCTGATCTGCCTGTGTGTGAAGTGGCGGCATGTCTGGGTGCAATGCTGCTTCCCTGAACGTCTGGTCAGGTGGGAGAGCACTGTAATAATCATAAAAAAAATCACATGATATTCCATCTATCAGAAATGTATTTTTCCCTAGTCACTTAGTTTTTAAAACCACTTCCTTTTCAGAGCTGCTTCCCTGAACTTCTGGTCAGGTGGGAGAGCACTGTAAAAATCATCAAAAAATCACATGATATTCCATGTATCAGAAATGTATTTTTCTCTAGTCACTTTGTTTTTAAACCACTTCCTTCTAAGAGCTGTTTCCCTGAACTTCTGGTCAGGTGGGAGAGCACTGTAAAAATCATAAAAAAATCACATGATATTCCATCTATCAGAAATGTTTTTGGCCCTAGTCACTTAGTTGTTAAACCACTTCCTTCTAAGAGCTGCTTCCCTGAACTTCTGGTCAGGTGGGAGAGCACTGTAAAAATCATCAACAAATCACATGATATTCCATCTATCAGAAATGTATTTTTCTCTAGTCACTTCGTTTTTAAACCACTTCCTTCTCAGAGCTGCTTCCCTGAACTTCAGGTCAGGTGGGAGAGCACTGTAAAAATCATCAAAAAATCACATGATATCCCATCCCCAGCACCATAGGACACAAGCGCACGCGTGATCAGCATTCACTTTCAGCTGATCTTTCTACCCATAGCTGCCCACCAATCCCTGGAGAAAGATCTGCTAAATTCATGGGGCTCTGAGCTGCCTGTGTGTGAAGTGGCGGCATGTCTGGGTGCAATGCTGCTTCCCTGAACTTCTGGTCAGGTGGGAGAGCACTGTAAAAATCATCAACAAATCACATGATATTCCATCTATCAGAAATGTATTTTTTTTCCGTAGTCACTTAGTTTTGAAACCACTTCCTTCTAAGAGCTGCTTCCCTGAACTTCTGGTCACGTGGGAGAGCACTGTAAAAATCATAAAAAACTCACATGATATCCCATCACCAGCGCCATAGGACACAAGCGCACGCGTGACCAGCAATCAGTTTCAGCTGATCTTTCCACCCATAGCTGCCCACCAATCCCTGGAGAAAGATCTGCTAAATTCATGGGGCTCTGAGCTGCCTGTGTGTGAAGTGGCGGCATGTCTGGGTGCAATGCTGCTTCCCTGAACTTCTGGTCAGGTGGGAGAGCACTGTAAAAACCATCAAAAAATCATATGAAAGTCCATCTATCAGAAATGAATTTTTCCCTAGTCACTTAGTTTTTAAACCACTTCCTTCTAGGAGCTGCTTCCCTGAACTTCTGGTCAGGTGGGAGAGCACTGTAAAAATCATCACAAAATCACATGATATTCCATCTATCAGAAATTTATTTTTTTCCCTAGTCACTTAGTTATTAAACCACTTCCTCCTAAGAGCTGCTTCCCTGAACTTCTGGTCAGGTGGGAGAGCACTGTAAAAATCATCAAAAAAATCACATGATATTCCATCTATCAGAAATGTATTTTTCTCTAGTCACTTAATTTTTAAACCACTTCCTTCTAAGAGCTGCTTCCCTGAACTTCTGGTCAGGTGGGGAAGCACTGTAAAAATCATAAAAAAAAAATCACATGATATCCCATCACCCTTAGCGCCATAGGACACAAGCGCACGCGTGACCAGCAATCAGTTTCAGCTCTTTCCACCCATAGCTGCCCACCAATCCCCAGAGAAAGATCTGCTAAATTCATGGGGCTCTGAGCTGCCTGTGTGTGAAGTGGCGGCATGTCTAGGTGCAATGCTGGGTGGGAATGTGCTGTTATGGGTTGCTCCAGTGGCAGGGAAATTATAAATGGACATTTAATTGAGATGCCAGGAGGAAACAGCAGGCAAACATCAAAGTAGGTGCAGATCTCTGATACTGTTTGTCATTTTTAAATAAAGTTTTAATAAAACTTTACACTATTTTTATTATTATTATTATTATTATTATTGTTAATATTATTATTAGTATTGTTATTATCATTATTGTTATTATTAGTATTGTTATTATAATTATTATTGTTATTATTGTTAATATTATTATTATTATTATTAGTATTGTTATTATTATTAATAGTGTTGTTATTATTAGTATTGTTATTATTATTATTGTTGTTGTTTATTATTATTATTATTATTATTATTATTAGTATTATTATAATTATTATTATTATTGTTATTATTATTATTATTGTTGTTGTTATAATTATTATTGTTGTTATAATTCTTATTATTCTTATTATTACTGTTAATAATAATAATGATTATAATAATTATAATAACAACAACAATAATAATAATAATAACAATAATAATAATAATAATAACAACAATAATAATAATAATAATAACAATACTAATAATAATAATAATAATAATAATAAGAATAATAATAACAACAACAATAATAATAATAACAATACTAATAATAATAATAACAACAATAATAATAATAATAACAATACTAATAATAATAATAATAACAATACTAATAATAACAATAAAAATTTGTTATTATTATTGTTATTATTATTATTATTAGCTATATAAAATGTCATATTAACAACATTGCCCAGTAAAATTATTGACAGCATTGCAGTTCATAGTTATTTTCTTGGTGAAGGCCCCTTTCAATGGAAAAACATTGTACGATATGTATGACTATTGTTTTTTTTTTTTTTGTTCCTTCTTCAGCCACAAATATCGCCAGAGGCGGACAAGCCTCGCAGAGTTCTAATTATGAGAGCCAATTGAAAGTACCACATTTGGCTGAGCAGGCCATTGATGGTGGGAAAGATACAGACTGGTTTCACGGCTCCTGTACCCACACGAATGCAGATCTGGGCACCCTGGTGGAAGGTGGACCTGAAACAGAAATACAAAGTGAATGTCGTTGTGGTCACCGGCCGGTCAGACGGCTCTATGGAACGGATGATGGGTGCCGAAGTCCGAATTGGAAATTCTCCGGACAATAACAACCCTGTGTAAGTACCACAAGGCCAGGATGCCGTATGAGCCTACGTCCAGGGGCGGACTGACCAGTTGGAAACTCGGGCACTGCCCGAGGGACCGGGGTCAGTAGGGGGCCCCATGAGATGCCCCTGGTACCTTTTTCATAGGCTTTTTTGAGGTGGGAGAGCACTGTAAAAAATCATCAAAAAATCATAAGATATCCCATCACCCTTAGCACCATAGGACACAAGCGCATGCGTGACCAGCAATCAGTTTCAGCTCCTTCCACCCATAGCTGCCCACCAATCCCTAGAGAAAGATCTGCTAAATTCATGGGTCTCTGAGCTGCCTGTGTGTGAAGTGGCGGAATGTCCGGGTGCAATGCTGCTTCCCTGAACGTCTGGTCACGTGGGAGAACACTGTAAAAATCATCAAAAAAATCACATGATATTCCATCTATCAGAAATGTATTTTTCCCTAGTCACTTAGTTTTAAACCACTTCCTTCTAAGAGCTGCTTCCCTGAACTTCTGGTCAGGTGGGAGAGCACTGTAAAAATCATAAAAAAATCACATGATATTCCATCTATCAGAAATGTTTTTGGCCCTAGTCACTTAGTTTTTAAACCACTTCCTCCTAAGAGCTGCTTCCCTGAAATTCTGGTCAGGTGGGAGAGCACTGTAAAAATCATAAAAAAAAATCACATGATATTCCATCTATCAGAAATGTATTTTCCTCTAGTCACTTCAATTTTTTTTTCCCTAGTCACTTAGTTTTAAACCACAAACCACTTCCTTCTAAGAGCTGCTTCCCTGAACTTCTGGTCAGGTGGGGAAGCACTGTAAAAATCATCAAAAAAATCAGAAATCACATGATATTCCATCTATCAGAAATGTATTTTTCCCTAGTCACTTAGTTTTAAACCACTTCCTTCTAAGAGCTGCTTCCCTGAACTTCTGGTCAGGTGGGAGAGCACTGTAAAAATCATAAAAAAAAAATCACATGATATTCCATCTATCAGAAATGTTTTTTGGCCCTAGTCACTTAGTTTTTAAACCACTTCCTCCTAAGAGCTGCTTCCCTGAACTTCTGGTCAGGTGGGAGAGCACTGTAAAAATCATCAAAAAAATCACATGATATTCCATCTATCAGAAATGTATTTTTTCTAGTCATTTAATTTTTAAACCACTTCCTTCTAAGAGCTGCTTCCCTGAACTTCTGGTCAGGTGGGGAAGCACTGTAAAAATCATCAAAAAATCACATGATATCCCATCACCCTTAGCGCCATAGGACACAAGCGCATGCGTGACCAGCAATCAGTTTCAGCTCTTTCCACCCATAGCTGCCCACCAATCCCCAGAGAAAGATCTGCTAAATTCATGGGGCTCTGAGCTGCCTGTGTGTGTGTGAAGTGGCGGCATGTCTAGGTGCAATGCTGGGTGGGAATGTGCTGTTATGGGTTGCTCCAGTGGCAGGGAAATTATAAATGGACATTTAATTGAGATGCCAGGAGGAAACAGCAGGCAAAACATCAAAGTAGGTGCAGATCTCTGATACTGTTTGTCATTTTTAAATAAAGTTTTATAACTTTACACTATTTTTATTATTATTATTATTATTGTTGTTAATATTATTATTAGTATTGTTATTATTATTATTATTGTTATTATTAGTATTGTTATTATAATTATTATTTGTTATTATTGTTAATTATTATTATTATTATTATTAGTATTGTTATTATTATTATTGATATTATTGTTATTATTATTAATAGTGTTGTTATTATTATTATTATAATTATTATTATTATTGTTATTATTATTATTATTATTGTTGTTGTTATAATTATTATTGTTGTTATAATTCTAATTATTCTTATTATTACTGTTAATAATAATAATGATTATAATAATTATAATAACAACAACAATAATAATAATAATAATAACAATAATAATAATAATAACAACAATAATAATAATAATAACAATACTAATACTAATAATAATAACAATACTAATAATAACAATAATAATAAACTTGTTATTATTATTGTTATTATTATTATTATTATTAGCTATATAAAATGTCATATTAACAACATTGCCCAGTAAAATTATTGACAGCATTGCAGTTCATAGTTATTTTCTTGGTGAAGGCCCCTTTCAATGGAAAAACATTGTACGATATGTATGACTATTGTTTTTTTTTTTTTTTGTTCCTTCTTCAGCCACAAATATCGCCAGAGGCGGACAAGCCTCGCAGAGTTCTAATTATAAGAGCCAATTGAAAGTACCACATTTGGCTGAGCAGGCCATTGATGGTGGGAAAGATACAGACTGGTTTCACGGCTCCTGTACCCACACGAATGCAGATCGGGCACCCTGGTGGAGAGTGGACCTGAAACAGAAATACAAAGTGAATGTCATTGTGGTCACCGGCCGGTCAGACGGCTCTATGGACCGAATGAGGGGTGCCGAAGTCCGAATTGGAAATTCTCCGGACAATAACAACCCCGTGTAAGTACCACAAGGCCAGGATGCCGTACGAGCCTACGTCCAGGGGCGGACTGACCAGTTGGAAACTCGGGCACTGCCCGAGGGACCGGGGTCAGTAGGGGGCCCCATGAGATGCCCCTGGTACCTTTTTCATAGGCTTTTTTGAGTTTGGGCAAGGACACAGGGGCCCCATGATCTCCTATTGCACGGGGGCCCCATGAGTTGTCAGTCCGCCCCTGCCTACGTCAATGGGCCTTTGGGCTTGTGTCAACAAATGTCCGATGACAAAGGCCCTAAGCACCAACCTGAACCTGAAATAAAAGACATTATTGCATGACTGAATTTTACCTATATATATATATGTAGAGCAGGGGCGGACTGACCATTCGAGCACTCGGGCACTGGGGTCAGTAGGGGACCCCATGAAATGCCCCTGGTACACTTTTTTTTTTTTTTTTTTTTAAATAGGCTTTTTTTGGTGTGTGTTTTGAGTTTGGGGGCAAGGACACAGTGGCCCCATGATCCCCTATTGCCCGGTGGGCCCCGTGAGTTGCCAGTCCGTCCCAGATTTAGAGAAAGTAAAAGTTCTAAGAAAACGGTTGCCCTCACCGGGGCTTCCACCGCCATTTTTTTTCTTCAAACTTACAGTTATTTGAGGTTAACAGGAATTACGTTGACAAAATATGCCCACTTTCACATTGTAATTAACCACTTCCAGTCCGGGCACTTTACCCCCTACCTGTCCAGGCCACTCCCTGGATGCAGGGCAGGGACCTCCTGTCTCCTGGGGGAAGACCTGAATCCCTGTCAGGCCCTTGATTATGAATGTTGGTCACACTTGTACACACAGCCTGCTGGCCTTCAGTCACACCTGGACTCAGGGTTAGAGGCTTCTTCCCTCCCACAGCTCTTCGAAGCCTCTGGACTCAAGAACCCAATCTGGGAGTTACAAAATCCAGAGAAAACTGGAACCCATTTTCTCTACTAAGAACAGATATTCTGGAGCCCTCCATAATTGCCACCCGAGAGAACCCTGTGTGCCATTTACCTCTTACAATATGGTGGCAGGGGCTAGCACTGTCTATATTGCCAAAAGTATTGCGACACCTGCCTTTCCACGCACATGATCTTTAATGGCCCCCCAGTCTTGGTCCACAGGGTTCAATACTGAGTTGGCCCCGCCCTTTGCAGCTATAACAGCTTCAACTCTTCTGGGAAGGCCGTCCACAAGGTTTAGGAGGGTGTCTATGGGAAGGTTGGACCATTCTTCCAGAAGCACATTTGTCAGGTCAGGCACTGATGTCGGGGGAGGAGGCCTGGCTCGCAGTCTCCGCTCTAATTCATCCCAAAGGTGTTCTATGGGGTTGAGGTCAGGACTCTGTGCAGGACAGTCAAGTTCCTCCACCCCAAACTGGCTCCTCCATGTCTTTATGGACCTTGCTTTGTGCACTGGTGCGCAGTCATGTTGGAACAGGAAGGGGCCATCCCCAAACTCTTCCCACAAAGTTGGGAGCATGAAATTGTCCAAAATGTCTTGGTACCTGATGCCTTAAGAGTTCCCTTCACTGGAACTAGGGGGCCAAGCCAAACCCCTGAAAAACAACCCACACCATAATCCCCCCTCCACCAAACTTTTTGGCACAATGCAGTCAGGGAAGTACCGTTCTCCTGGCAGATTGTCAGACAGAGAACACGTCTCCACTGCTCTAGAGTCCAGTGGCTTCTTACCTCTGTGCTTGTCAACAAGGGTTTCTCCACTAAGTACTATGTCCTGTTTTGTTTGGGGATTTACTTATTACTTATTTTACTCGCTGAACTGCAACTCAATTTAATCTCCAAACACGGAAAGGTTTCTTCACAGTGAGAGCTGTGAGAATGTGGAATAGACTCCCTCCAGAGTTGGTTGTGGCCAGCTCAGTGGATTGCTGTAGGAAAGTCCTGGATTCTTTCTTGGATACACAGAATATAACTGGATATAACATTTATAGGGAAAGTTGATCCAGGGAATATCCGATTGCCTCTCCGGGGATCAGGAAGTCAGGAAGGAATTTTTTTCCCAGCAGGATCAAATTGGATCGTGCTTTGCTGGGTTTTTTTTTCCTTCCTCTGGATCAACAGTGGGTGTAGAATATAACTTTTTTTTTTTTTTTTCTATGGCTGAACTGGATGGACTTTTTTGTCTTTTGTCAGCCAGACTAACTATGTAATTTATAACATTTGTATCATGTGTTTTTTCTGGATTTTTGGTTAATATTCTGTGTCTATCTTTTAAAAATACACCTATGATAAAAAAATTATAGACCCTTCATTTCTTTGGAAGTGTGGAAACGTACAAAATCTGCAGGGGATCAAATAATTATTTCCCCACTGTGTGTGTTTGTGTATATATATACAGTCAGGTCCATAAATATTGGGACATGGACACAATTCTAACATGTTTGGCTCTATACACCACCACAATGGATTGGAAATGAAACGTACAAGATGTGCTTTAACTGCAGACTGTCAGCTTTAATTTGAGGGTATTTACATCCAAATCAGGTGAACGGTGTAGGAATTACAACAGTTTGCATATGTGCCTCCCACTTGTTAAGGGACCAAAAGTAATGGGACAGAATAATAATCATAAATCAAACTTTCACTTTTTAATACTTGGTTGCAAATCCTTTGCAGTCAATGACAGCCTGAAGTGTGGAACGCATAGACATCACCAGACGCTGGGTTTCATCCCTGGTGATGCTCTGCCAGGCCTCTACTGCAACTGTCTTCAGTTCCTGCTTGTTCTTGGGGCATTTTCCCTTCAGTTTTAAACTAAAGTGTAAAGGATCCCCCTGCCCTCGATGGAATGATTACTATGATACAGCTGCTGTCACTTAACTAATACCAACAAGTGCAAACAAAAAGAAAAAAATAGTGAAGCGCTTATATCTCATGAATAAATAAAGTAAAGTGCATTCAAAAAAGAATTAATATAAATGAAGTAATATAAATCTGATACTCCTGTGTGACAAATCTATATAATAAACACTAATACCTCCCTCTAGTGGGAAAAAAAATAGTGCAACCGAATGTAATTAAGCTTTAGTGATTCAACACACACTATAAAAAAACCTATTATAACGTGCATATAAAAAATTCCAATACATAACCAAATGTGAATAAATTAGTGAATATGGTTACCCATGATGAAGTCACGACGCACGTGACGCAACGCGTCGGTTCGTCATTCCTGGTGACGCATGCGGCCATATTGGATTCCCCAGTGCATGCAGATTTACCCATAGGCTGTGGTAAGAACGCTTGTTAACCAAGAGGACTATGTGAGTGTAACTATTTGTGGTGTTTTACCCTTTCTTAATAAATATACTACACTATGGAAAGTTTTATGTCTTACTATGAGTCTGAATAAGAGGAGGAGGAATAAGGAGTCTGCCAGAGGAGATACACCACTGAGGTGGAAAGTGCTTTGGGGCCCTGTGTGGGTCAAGGAGGGGAGGTGAGCAGGCATTGCTGCCATTTGGAGGAGATTATTTGCACCTAGAAGTGGAGATCACGTGTGTTTTCCAAAAGCACAGAGTCACATGCATGGACATTTTTTCTTTTTCACTTATGATGTATATGAAATGTGTGTGAATTAGGCACTATTTTATGTGGATAATTAATTTCATATTCACTAATTTATTCACATTTGGTTATGTATTGGAATTTTTTATATGCACGTTATAATAGGTTTTTTTATAGTGTGTGTTGAATCACTAAAGCTTAATTACATTCGGTTGCACTATTTTTTTCTCCCACTAGAGGGAGGTATTAGTGTTTATTATATAGATTTGTCACACAGGAGTATCAGATTTATATTAATTCTTTTTTGAATGCACTTTACTTTATTTATTCATTAGATATAAGCGCTTCACTATTTTTTTCTTTTTCCCTTCAGTTTTGTCTTCAGCAAGTGAAATGCTCAATCAGATTCAGGTCAGGTGATTGACTTGGCCATTGCAGAACATTCCACTTCTTTCCCTTAAAAAACTCTTTGGTTGCTTTTGCCGTCTGCTTTGGGTCATTGTCCATCTGCACTGTGAAGCGTCCAATGAGTTGTGAAGCATTTGGCTGAATATGAGCAGATAATATTCCCGAAACACTTCACAATTCATCCGGCTGCTTCTGTCAGCAGTCACATCATCAATAACTACAAGAGAACCAGTTCCATTGGCAGCCATACATGCCCACGCCATGACACTACCACCACCATGATCACTGATGAGGTGGTATGCTTAGGATCATGAGCAGTTCCTTCTCCATACTCTTCTCTTCCCATCACTCTGGTACAAGTTGATGTCGGTCTCATCTGTCCATAGGATGTTGTTCCAGAACTGTGAAGGATTTTTTACATGTCGTTTGGCAAACTCTAATCTGGCCTTCCTGTTTTTGAGGCTCACCAATGGTTTCCATCTTGTGGTGAACCCTCTGTATTCACTCTGGTGAAGTCTTCTCTTGATTGGTGACTTTGACACACATACACCTACCTCCTGGAGAGTGTTCTTGATCTGGCCAACTGTTGTGAAGGGTGTTTTCTTCACCAGGGAAAGAATTCTTCGGTCATCCACCACAGTTGTTTTACGTGGTCTTCCGGGTCTTTTGGTGTTGCTGAGCTCACCGGTGCGTTCCTTCTTTTTAGAATGTTCCAAACAGTTGTTTTGGCCACGCCTAATGTTTTTGCTATCTCTCTGATGGGTTTGTTTTGTTTTTTTCAGCCTAATGATGGCTTCACTGATAGTGACAGCTCTTTGGATCTCATCTTGAGCGTTGACAGCAACAGATTCCAAATGCAAATAGCACACTTGAAATGAACTCTTGACCTTTTATCTGCTCATTGTAATTGGGATAATGAGGGAATAACACACAC